AAGGGGCTTTTTTCCATATAACAAGAACTGCTGTCGAAGTTATTAGTTTAGGAAGATTAACTGTCCCCCCCCCCCAATGTATTTCGGTACAAAGGTTTGTCATTTAAACTCAACTATACTGATTTTTTTTTGGAACAACTGGATAATCTTGCACCTAGAATTGTTTTGAATATCTGTGCTTGGTACATTCTAAAGCATAGGTCACTTACACAGTGTATTTAAATATACAATCTGAACGATGAAAAAAGCCAAGGAGGAGACAGGTGAAATCGGTATCGCGTCCTAGACACTTCAAAGGATGTAAATGCGGAGCAACAATGGCTAGCATGTATTATTTTTGAAAATATAATCATTTAACGAAGTTAGAACACGACGCCCCTAGCGGGAATTTTTAAATTTTTTTTTGGTCCTCCCGTAGTAATTCATTTAAGTTAACACTGAACCATAATACAACAAAAAGTAAACCTAGACGTTGTACTAAGGTGCACGATTTTTAAACAAGAAATTTTAGTTTATTTGTGGTTTAAATGAAATTCTTATTACTAAATCCCAATAGAATTTTTCTTAATAAATTTTAAATTTTGAAATTATATTATATTTTTTAGAATATTGGTTTTAGGTTATTAAATATTATTTTAACTATGTTGTGCCTTTGTTATTCGTTATAATTGGGCGTTGAAACTGTTAAACTTTTAGCAGCTTGTTCTGGGTTATTCGTCATATTTTTTCAGCTGTTATTGTGGGCCATGAAAAACTTTAAAATAAACATTTTTGCTCTCCAAAATTATAGAACTATTTGGTGTTTGAAATATTTGAATTTGAAGTTTTAGTTCTCAAACTGTATCTATTTAGATTTCATTTTACTCGGTTACCAAGAATAGAGTATAGTTTTCATTTCACGTATTTCTATACGTGTCGTTAATTATTACACCTTCTTTAATAAATGCAAAGGTTTAAAAATGGAATAAAACAAAATTATGAACTTATACAGTTTTTAGAGCTAAAACAATTTTTAAATTTGTAAAAAATATATTCTTAAGTACCAGAGAAGAGAAGAGCTCTGAATATTTTAAATTATTGAATGTTTTTCCGCTCATGCCTCCACATTACACCCATTAACAGCGATTTCCACACACTTAACTGGTTTATTATTGTTTATTATTATTGCCGTAAAAAGACATGAGGATTTTTGAATGCCATAAGGTGACCTAAAAACGAGAATCAAAATGTCGCGGGTATGTATGTTTAACGGACCTTCTCAAATTTTTTTTCATAGTTGCTTCATAAGTTAACGTATTATCGGCATAGGTGCCTCTATATCTCTAGTGCGAGTATCTATATTACTAATAGGCGCCAGTTTGAGTAATTCATGGCCATAAAATGGATGGTGCAGCAAAATTGTAATATCTTTCTTAGTTCTTAGATATCTATCGGCAATTTGTGAATTAGTTCGCACGTTTATCTGAAAGCACAATAGAGATATAGAGTATAATTTATAACATAACATCAAAAATGGGACCTTTGATATATCTTATCGTTCGTATCCTCGGACATTGTTTGGGAAAGAACCATTTCGAAATAGGTGATGACGGTTTTTGGATACGGCACGTCTTCATGGCAGTTTCGAATAAAATTTCACACAGAACTTTAATTAATACGAAGATAAATATTCAGCAAGGTGCTAAGAAATTTCCCCGCGCGGACGCGGCGTAACAAAACAAGTGCCCCAAACGACGAAATGGGGGTATTTTACGGTTTAATCTCGCCACTAATATAACAAACTTTTATAATAAATCTTAAACACGCTTGCGGAGCTCGGCAACCATTGGCGTTGGAGTGCGGCTCTGCATGTAATACCAGACGGGTAATTATATTGGCGCGAACATGACTTAAATTCAAATTGCAGACAACGCTTTTTTATTGTAAACACAAAAAAAGTTTTAGTTTGTTGTAGTGGTGATCGATTCCAAGGTTCGTACTACACCTCACATGGGTATAAGATTTATTTTACGACATGTCATATATATCCACATAACATCGAAATAGATCTTAAAACCGATGTTGCCGACATATTCTCTCGCTAATGTTATTTTGTACTTATCGTAAATTAAATTGATGTTTTTCTTTCTTAGCTTATATTAAAGTGAAATTAAAAACATTAGCACATTAGTAGCTATTGCAGTTTTTTCTAATATTTTCTTAAAAAACTACGACGGTCAGTTCTTCGTTATCAAATTGTTTTTATAGAACAGTTCTATAGAAATAGGATTTTCCGTTTTTTTTGTTTTCAAGCCCTATGTTTCTTCCAGTTTGTCCTTTCTTTATTAAAGACCCTTATTAATTAAGCCTAATAAAAAGTTAACTAGAGATTTACATGAAATGAAGTACAGGCAAAGAAGGGGTCGTTGAAAAATTGTCCATAAGTAATTATAAGAAATATATTACCGTTTGCTAGAGGACACATGTTTTGAAGAAAAGAAACTTTATTTTTTGGGTTAAGAATACAAGATGCAAATATTACACATGAAATAAATAATAACTCAGCGAGGGATTATATAAATAAAATATATCAATATTATTATAAAAATTAAGTAATTTCATGCAAAAAAGATAATTGTTAATTAGGGTATACTGCCTAGAAATAAAACAATTAATTAGTATTTTGATATTACTTATCTAATGGTGCAGTTGTCATAAAAATTTAAAAAGATAAATTAATATATTTTTTAAATTTTCTTAAACATATTTAAAAAAATTCGAAACAAAAATAAGTAGCAGCTGACTTATTTTAAATCTATTACATAATTCTAGAATTATAAGTATCATTTGAAAGATATTTATGTCTTACTGTTTCCGACATTTTTAATTTTATGTTAAATCATTAATTTACTAATTGTGTGTTTTTTGTAGGTTTTTATCTATATAGATATTTTTTATAGCTTTTTAAATATTTTTTTTTATTAGACATTAACCAAATTTAAAAGATTTTGTAATAACTTAATTGCCAGGCCAATTAATAGCCATTTTGTAGTTTTACAATGGAAAAAGGTTTTATTGCTAATATTTATAAATTTACAGCTTTTTGAAATAGGAAACAAAGTCACCAAATATGATATGATCATAAAAAATAGGATGCTTACATTCGAAACAAATGTCTCTTCACTATTTTTTCATTCAAATATTTATTGTTAGTTCTTGGCCACCCCGTATATATAGACCTTCTAACGTAACTTTTGATATAGAATTCAAAATAATTTTTCAACCAAACTTCTGCAGGGTGTGGAACTTGTAGGTACACATCCTCTCGATTTCTCCTGCGTTAGGTGACTGTCTCGACAACGGAAATTATTTGAGAGAAGAACTATTAACACATCTCACCTGAGTTCTTTTCTCAAATAATTTCCGTTATCATGATATCAGATGGTCAATTACAAAATACCACATCCAAATCACCACACTCCGTGAAAATCCCCCCAGCGGCGACTGTAATAATTCCATGTAGTCAAATTTCACGGATAAAATATCAAAAATTCTGACAAAACATACCATAAAATATTTAATCTAAAATCTCCCAGCAGCAGGTTATGGCATACCGTGCAGTTGTGACAAAGATTATATCGGCGAAACAGGTCGAAAAGTATTAACTAGACTAAAAGAACACACCAGAGATCAGTCAGACTTCGAGAACGTGCAGCAATCATCAGATAAGTTTCAGACAGCACTCTGAAGAAGTCAGCAGCATGTTTGGCGCAACGTCAGCGAGACGGAGTCAGCATCCGACACAGGAAGACGAGTACCTACAAATTGAAAATATATCAGAAACTACAAGAAAAGCATTTTTTCCGATGCTAGCTTATTTGAAATGGAAGGCCTTGCATAATTGTGATAACTTTTCAGAACAGAAAGGAAGAAAAATAAAAAAAACAACTCATATACAATACAATACATATACAATTTAAATTTATTACACACATATTACGCACACCATTACCTTTTAATTATTTTATTAATTAATATTTAATTTTTTAATTATAATATTATTTAATCAATTTGCGTTATCACGTTAATATCTAATACTTGTGTCAATGCCAACACAACACCTTTGATGAATAAATATATGCAAACAGGATCAAGTACCTTCATTATGAACTTTATCACAAATTTGAAACAACGAAAATAATACAATAAATAATGTTCCGGGATATCATCCATTCGTTTGTTGAACTTCCACTGGAATCCTGCAGACGTTTCCCATGTTCGCTTACGCTCCGAAAACACTTCGAACAGAGTTTTCCCGACTAAAAAATATTGAATTCTGCACTAATCAAGCAGTCATCCAAGTCAGGCCAGAGGGTATAGTTTGTCTCAAAGTATATGGTGTTAGTTTTTGTCTATAGTTGCTGACGCCAACACAACTACCGCCCTATAACCGGCCAATTTGAAGTAGATAATGCGAAAATTTTTACTGTTATATTAACGGAAAAAATAAATTTAATTTTAACTTTTCGAAACCATGATAATCTGTAGTAGCTTTATTTGCTACTGTTGCCACCCGGTATCAAACTACAGTTGTTTGTTCGTTATTTTTTATTATTTATTATTATTATTAATTAGGTTGCGAATATGGAAGATATTTGAGATACTTTGTACCTTTTAATTTGCCGTGCGAGCCAGAGAAAATAAGTGTTCACAGATTTCTGCATTTATCTAATATTTGATTCTACTTCGTTTTGTTTATGTGTCTAAGGAGATTCTCGCCTACTTCAAATTCGCGCAATGTGCAGTTGATAAACAATTAGTTAATTGGTATGACTTTTATCAAGGTTACTGACATAACACTATGAAATTTATATTAGATCGTTGTTTGATTGTTGTTGTGTGTGCCTAGAGTACATGTAAGTAGTATATGGTATTTTCTTAATAGTTTATTTAAATGGTTATACATAATTAACTGATTTAATTATTATTATTATTTTTATTTGCAATTGCGTCGTAATATACGTTTTGTCGTAACATGACAAAATTTTCTTCTACACTCTTGTTCGTGCAGAGCAAAATTAGAAGCACAGCATCAATTTAAGTTAAACTAAATGAAAGAGTTTATTAACGGAAAGTACTTGCTGCCAGTAAACTTGTTTGTATGTTTTGTGGATGTTCACTTTGATTAGTAAAATTCAAAAGGGCTTCAAGTACGTTAGCGCGTAGTGCTGTGAAAGTAACAAAAGGAAAAAAGAAGAAACGTGTATGGGTCAGAAGCTGGATTAATTGTCGGAATGTTTTACGAGCTTCTCTTCGAAAGAGATAGCAACTAAAGATGTTGGATCCTATAATAATTTTATGAGGTTATCCCCAATAATGTTTGAGAAATTGTTAAACCTTATTGAACCAAAAGTGACAAAATCAGATACATGGATGAAGGCTGCTATTTATCATAGGATCAAATTGCAGGTAACATTTCGATACTTAGCTACTGGAGACTGCTTGGCATCACTGCAATATTTACACAGAGTACCGAGGTTCACAGTTTTAGCTGTTTTACCAGAGGTCCTTTTTGCAATTTATGAAGCCCTCGCTGACTATATAAAGGTAAGAAAAACAAACTGCTAAATGCCTGCTGAAGGATATCAGAAGTGTGGGAGTAGTTGGAGGACCATGTTGACTATCGACCCTGCTGATTTGCAAATTATTTGACAAAGCACTTGGTGAAAAACTTTGATTGATTGAAGAACAATAATTTATATTTTCTCTAGTAATAAGTTGTTGGATTTTTACCTGCAAAATTATAAAATTGTGCACTGGAAGGTGTCTGAGTTGAGTAGTTTAAATAAATAAGGGGTATTTCAAAAAGTGCCTCTGTGATTTTGTAATTCACTATACATATATATAATTTTTTGTTCATGGCATTCTGAAGATGGATCACTGCAATCAATCACAACTTTAGGAATAAATAAAATAAATAACTCACGCGATAAATCAATTGCGTTCAAAGTATACAAGTTTCTGGAGAAGGCGCTATACCGTGGCAAGACAATGGTTGGCTAATTAAAAAAAATATTCATATCGTTATTGTTACATGCTATGCTATTTTATATAATAGGCACATAATTTATAAAATTTAACAAATAAAAAAAGACTTACCATAATGTTTATTGTTTTCATAATTTCGATCACATCTTTGGCAAACCAAACAAGCTTCGGCTTATATATATCATCGACATCAGCACCACTCTTTCTAGCTTTTTAGATTTTATTTAATTCCTGGTGTTATACAGTTTTGATGGTGTTTAGTTTGGTCTAAAACACTGGCAAATCCATTGCTTCGAATTCCTCATTATCTTTTAGTTCTCTCTCCCCTCTCCCCGTGGCTCACAACCCGGGGTGGGTCTTAGCCGACTTGACGATGCGCCTCCATTGTTGTCTGTCGTTCATTAGGTCTAGTGCGTTATCGACTTCCATTATTTTTAGGTCCTTCTCGATGTTATCCCTCCAGCGAAGGCGAGGCCGACGTAGTGGTCTTTTTCCTTCGGGTGCCTCTTCCCATGCTAGCTTGGCTATTCGGTTGTCTGGAAGTCTTTTCACATGTCCGGCCCATTGCAGCCTTCTCGCTTTTATTTCGTTGATGATATTGGGGTCTTTGTATAGTTCATATAGCTCCCTGTTCTTGCGTATACGATATCTACCGGTTGTTATATCAGTGACCGGCCCATAGATTTTTCTCAGTACTCTCTGTTCAAAAACCCTGATCCGCTCTTCGTTGGCCACTGTAAGTGTCCAAGTCTCGCATCCATACATTATTACGGGTCTTATTATGGTTTTATATATGGATAGTTTAGTCGTGCGTATGAGATTTTTTGATTTAAGAAGGTCATGTAGCGCTGATAAACATCTACTACCAGCTTGTATTCTACAATTTATCTCTTCTGACCCATCAGCGTTTTCTGAGAGTGTTGTTCCTAGATATTTGAACTTTTTCACCCGCTCAAAGTTATAGTCACCCATTGTGATGTTTTGTCCTACTCTATCTCTCCTTTGGTTGTTTCTAGTTGTGTACATATATTTAGTTTTCCCTTCGTTGATCTTCAATCCCATATTTAGTGCCTGTTTCTCGAAGTTGGTGAAGGTCTCCTTGACGTTAAGTCTACTACAACTTTTAGTTCTTGAAATAAATTTTCAAAGGCTATGCTGCCTTTTAATTCATTGACATGATCTTGTGAAAGTATATTTCTCATAAATATTATGTATAAGGAAAGAATAAATATTAAGGAATTCGATCACTATTCATATTTCCAAACTTGTCTGTAGTAATCTGAGAGAACTCTACCACGCGGCAACTTGTCGAGACATGCAAATTGCTCACAAAACTAGCCGACGCCCCAAATTTGCCATACGTAAATGATCCTTATCCCGTATTAACCTTATATTCTGGGAAAAAATATTGAGGAATTAAAATAATTATCATTAACTATTGGATTTTTTCCATTTGAACCATGTCGCCCTATCTGCTAAAATAATGCTTAAAATTGCTTCACAAAGTTTCAAACTGAAGATATTTGCAAAAATATTAATAAATGCAGTGTTGATTACGAGAAGTTTCCATTTAATGACATTTTGAATTTTAAAGTAATAGGTACTTCAAGAATCACTTTCTTTCCAAAGGTTACCTCCCTGACATCTTATTTATGGCGTTATTGTCTTCTGGTATTATTGTTCTTCTGGTTAATTGTTCTTTCTCCAATTTTTTTAGACTGTTAATAATCAAGAATTCATATGAGATATTTTTAAGTATAAGGTATACTTAACACTTTGACTGCCACGTGCATCTCTAAGTATACACAGTGACTTGTCTTAGGGTGCCAGGTGTATATTTTGGTATACACATGTAACCACTAATAATGTGCCGCGTATATCCTACAATAACACGCTTTACGTGCTTTTTTTATGGGATATAGTTTGGCTTGACGTGAGGGAATACCAAAACGTTTTTAGCGCTGACTTTTAATAATTTTATTTTTTTATACAATCATTTAATTTTTTAGCTACTATATTATTTTTAAATAAAACACGGTTGAGTGTTTGAGCATATATCTAAATATAAAAAACACTTAATCGAAATAAAGAAAACACGCACACGAACACTTGGAACAATAAACAATAAAACAATAAATTCATTAGTGTCTAATGATTCATTTTAGGTACAACATTATGTTTGTCAAAAAAGCAGTCTAACTTGTTTAGTTTTATATATGGCATATTTCCGATCATGGGTGTCTTTATTTCGTTGATAGCACAAAAATCATCGGCTTTTTTTTCTACTTGGATAAATTTGTGGAATTGTTCAGGTGGGCGATCAGGAGCGGTATTTTTTCCCCCATAGACAACATTTTCAAGCATAATTTCTCTTTGAAATCAGTAATACTGTCTCTTTTTGATTCGTTTTTTTTTGTATAAATAATGCGAGTTTACAACACTTGCGCCCGTAAACCATTCAAAGGCAACCTTTTTATACCATTTGACGCTGCGTCTAACGGATGTAGAGTAGGATGATAACTGGTCTAAGATATCAATAAAACTTTTTGTCTTATTATAGTCAATCACAGCTTCAGGTTTCTTTTTAGCTTCAATTCTTCCAGAAACTTTTACAAGATTTGCTCGATGCTTGGTAGTAACCACAAAAATGTTAGGTTTATTTATCAATTTGAAAATAACTATGCCATTCTTCTCTCTACCTTTGATTTCACCTTTTTTTAGCTTAGCGTTCCTACTAGGTGTGTCTTTCTATCTAGAAGCTTTTTTGACAATTCTACGTTGGTGTACCAGTTATCTGTATACAGGGTCGCTCCTTTGTCGAGACAATCCGACATTAATTCAAAAACAACTTTTGTTGCCACTGACATTCATTCAGTTTTTGCTGGGCCACAATAAATTTTGCAGTGATACGTATAACCACCAGAAAGCCAGAGCTTGAAAAGCTTTATTCCAAATTTATACCTCTTTCCTTTCACATATTGACGAAATTTGAAATGTTCACGAAAAGGCACCATTATTTCGTCAATGCACAAACTTTCATCCGGTACCACAACCCTTTTGAATTTTTCGTTCAGCAAGTTTACTCAAGTCGATCTCCAGGTTGACATAAATCATTATCGGCGAAGTGCCACATCCTTAGTAACAGTTCAAATCTATTTCGGGATATATATCCAGCTGCTCTGGAATTTCGCCAATAATCGACCAGTTTAGGTTTTTGATCCAAACCCATCCATATCAAGATTCCCAAAAACAGTACATTTCGTCCGCGTTAGTTTCCTTCCATTTGTTTCCACGCGAAGATGGGCCAATTGTTTCTTCAGTAATACTTTGCATAATGATCTGATCTGCGTATATATTGGTTTGTTCGACAATAATGTTTACAACTTCGTCATCCGCAAAAAGTCGAAAATAAGCGAATTCATTTTTCAAATTTATTACTTCCTGTGTCAGGCCTACATCTTCTTGTAAAGTAAAATTTCGAGTATTGCCAACCACTATTCCCCAATCGTTTATCGTAAAATTATTGCTCTCGTCGCCCGACCAATTTACATGTTCTATTTCAAACTGAGACTCTGATGGAATCGAATCATCTGAAAATTATTATCAAAAATAGGAACCTATATGTTGCCTGTATTTTTTCAAGTAAATACCTCTAATCGTTTTTCGTGCTCGTTTAGGCAAAGTGTCGTTCTCATCATCAAATAAATTTTCTGTTTCTACTTCATATCGAACTCTAAATAAAGAAAATAGTATCGGAAAATGGATAAATCGCGGTTTTACAAGCACTTACTTTTCCAACCTGGAATGGCAGTACTACTTTCGCTACTGAAGCTTTCCAACTCATATTCAGGATCCCCATCAGATTCATTTGCAAATGGTTTATCTTCACTCATATCAGAAAGTTCCTCCCATAGTCTCTGCAATGTAGACTGTTCATTTTCGTACGATCCCATTTCTATGAATCACACCAAATCACCATACATATAACATAAGACACTTATAAAGTGCACTGCACCACATTCGGACTAAAAGTGATGATTATTTACAAGTTTACAACACGTCTGATAGACAAGAATAAGCCTGCTTAACCGTGTATATCACGATGTACATATGGCACAGAATATGTTTTTTTAATTCTACGCCAAGTGTATATTTTTTATACACTAGCCTTAAGGTTTTTTATAACAAAAAAACAAACGTTTTGGTTATATTATAGTGTGTTAGGAGGGTATTTTAAACACTTTCGTGTAAACAAAAAAGGTTTGGCCCATGTGAACCCCTCAATGATTTTGGGGCGGCAGTCAAAGTCAAATATTTTCAGTTTGATTTTTTTTTAATATGTATTTTTTTGAAATATATTTTTTTCCGCAAGCCACACTCCTCGAAACAAAACCGAGAATCAAACCCGTTATATACACAATTTTTTTAGGTTGAAGTTTTCCCATCATGATAACTATAATATTAGCTGGAATCGTGCTCAGTATTCTCTTCTGGTATTTGTTGATTAAACCATTACATTACTGGAGAGATCTGGGAGTAAAACAAACCAATCCTTGGGTGTTTTTGGGCGACAATTGGGTGACTGTCTTTCGACGAAAAAGTTTCGATGAAATGATAGTGTGGCTTTATAACATGTATCCCAATGAACGGTAAGTTACTTTTTGAAAAATTATAGCTTTATCTTAGTTTATGTAGACCCATTTTCGAAACAAAAGTTCTGCGTTAAGGTTAATTTGGAATCGAGTTACGAACTAAAGTTAAAATTAATTAAAACTTTAAATTGAAAAAAAGTCAAGCATGTCGTTTTCACGTTCCATTTCTAGGTATTCTGGTATGTACCAAGGTTATGTGCCAACATTACTCATTCGAGATCCAGAGCTTATCAAACAAGTGACCGTCAAAGATTTCGATCATTTCACAGATCACAGACCTTTTGTTGATGCCAAATCTGATCCACTATGGGGCAAAAACCTTTTCGCTTTGAAAGGTATTAGCAATGTTTCTCTTGTGTTAAAACTTAAATGTATATGCCAATAAATTTTAGGACAAAATTGGAAAGATATGAGAGCGACTTTGTCGGCCTCTTTTACAAGCAGCAAGATAAAATTTATGTTCCATTTGATAGGCGATACGTGTGAAAACTTGGTTCAATTTTTCGACACGAAAAAAGAAGACCTTATCGAACTTGAAGTCAAAGAAATCTTCACCAGGTTTGTACAGAGAGCAAAAGAAATAGCAAGGCAAAATTCATTAAATATGTTCGAATTTGAAAATCTACATTGAAGATTTAATACCAGTATAATTGGTGGTTTCTTCGCATTATTCATTAGCTTTAATTATTTTTTTTTGTTTTGTTACAGAATTCCTACTTTAGTATATGATTTCAATTTTCAGGTTAACCAACGATGTCATCGCCAGCGCCGCATTTGGGATTAAAGTTGATTCGTTGGCCGAGCCCCACAATGAATTTTACCACATGGGAAAGGCACTAACCAATTTTTCCGGTATTAAAATGATGTTGAAGTTCATGGGATTTTTTATTGCGCCCAAATTATTGAACGTAAGTTCAAATTTCATGCTGGGTACTTTATAATTTGCATAATATCTGTTACAGATGTTCAAGATAACGTTTTTCGACGCCAAGGTGTCAAAATTTTTCACTCAAGTCATCTCGGAAACGATAAAAGCTAGGGAGGAAGGGGGTATCGTTCGCCCGGACATGATTAACCTTCTACTGGAGGCCAGGAAAGGATTAAAACACGAAATCAGCGCAAATGTAGATACTGGATTTGCCACTGTTCAAGAATTCGACCTGGGTAATTTTAACGATAACTATCAATCAACAACGCATATTAGTTGTTGTCGTATAGCCCTATAGGTTTCAACTATTTCAGTACAGTTTAATATATAAAAACGTCTTCAATTTCAACATTTGCTAAATATCTGTTAGTTTCGGAAATACATGGTAATTTAAAAAAACTTCAAAATTTATTTTGTTAAATACCGTGAAATTGATTGATTTTAAGAAAGTTTACATTGAAAGTTTTATTGATTTTTAAGCCCTAAAATATTATTTACCTTGACGTATCGTTTCCGAAATACGCCCATCAACTTAAACTTTTTAAACACAGTGCTACATTATTTGGCAATTGATTTTTAAAATCCTGGTTCGTATTTAAAATGGTAAGTTGACGACGGTAGCATATAAACCAGACGTCCGATTTAATCTTGTAAGAGAGAAAAAGTTTTAAGACACCCCTCTAAAGAAGTTATTATATGGGAGAACAATTTTCAGGAACAACGGCAAAGCCGCGCTTAGACCTCACAGACCAAGATATAACCTCGCAAGCTGTCATTTTCTTCTTTGCCGGCTTCGATGCAGTATCCACAGCTATGTGTTTTGCCCTCCACGAATTGGCATGTAATCATGATATCCAGCAAAAGCTGCGCGAAGAAATTATAAGCACGGCAAGCGAATATCCCAGAATTACCTACGATGGGCTGCTTAAAATGAAATATCTGGATATGGTGGTGGCTGGTAAATATCTGTCCACTATAGCTAGTTCCAATAACCAAACGAGACCGGATAAAGTAAAGACGAAACGAATAACTCGACCTTCCATCAAAATTTTGGCCATTTCACTTACCTTTCACGATTTGCATTATAAAATGTTTAAAATTACAACACCCACGACACTTCAACGTCAAAAGCGCCACGAAAATGCCCAAAACGTTTTCAGAATCTCAAATATGGTTGAAAGTATTAAAGTTTCCGCATTACTTAGGTCTGCTTCTTTATATGCTAAAACATTAAAAACAATTTAAAATCACTTCCTAGGTGATTTTCGCGGTTTAAATGTATTTCTGTGTTTACAGAAATATTGAGAAAGTGGTCACCTGGGGTTGCAACAGACAGAGTTTGCACCAAGCCTTACACTATAGAGCCAGTAAATCCGGGCGAGAAAGCGCTACATTTGCCCATAGGAACGACACTATTTATACCAATGTTCGCCATCCATAGAGACCCCACATATTACCCAAATCCGGAGAAGTTTGATCCGGAAAGGTTTTCAGACGAAAACAAGGACAACATCAAACCCTACACATTCATACCGTTCGGATCCGGACCCAGAAATTGCATCGGGTCCAGATTTGCTATCCTGGAAGTGAAGGCGATGTTGTATCACCTGCTGTTCAAATACGAAGTGGTGCCGACAGCCAAAACACAAATTCCGTTGAAGATCACTAAAAAATCTCTGAATTTTACTGCGGAAAACGGATTTTGGTTTGGTATCAAACGTATACGTAATGGTTCGGTGACTATTTAAAATTATGTTTAATGTGATTTTAAATTTTAAGATAAAAAACGCGCAAAAATACAGTTTGTTATGAAATTTCGTTTTTTTTCGAATGATAAATTGTGAAATTGTGATACATTAGAAGTCGGATGAGTAAGAGGAGTAGTAGAAACAAGGATTTGATTATATCCAGAAAGACGTATTAATTCACTAATACCCTAAGAATTCATTTCACAACTTTTCTTAGTACGTTAATAAATAATAACAATGCAATAGAGCACCCTATGATTAATCTATATATGCAGTATCAGTAATAGTACCAAGTACCAACATTTAAATGAAATTTTACAGGTGAAAGGGCTTATAACAATACAAGATAAGAAAATATTTGCTAGACAAATGAACATGTCAACAGGTTAAAAGTAATTGTAAATGTAAAATACACTAACTTTTCAAAAAATTAAAACCATGCGATTGCACTAGCATCTATAAGTGATATTTGACCCACGCTTGATCACCATAATCCGATGGTATGATATCACGAAAGTTCGATTCGTAACATTGATCCCGACAAATGGGAAAAACTTCTGACAAAATGTGACGTATTTGTAACATAGAATCTGGAATAAAACAAAGGGTTTTTTATTCAAAATTTTAAAATTGTCCACTTCCCCTCCGCTAGCGGGTTGGGGTGGGGGTCATATTTACTGTCATTGGACAGTTATCTTATTGAATATTCCAGCAGGTATAAAATTTATCTAAAAACTCCCGAGAAATTCAAAAAATTTAAAATAAGAAAGTCGTTACTTGTCCACGAAATTACAAACACCCTGTATGTTTAACAATGTAGTATTTTAAAAGTTTAAGTGTCTCCAAACGACTCTCTAAGTTTTTCAAGGAAACTTCCACTGGCTACTGTAATACTTTTAACAAAACTTCTGGATTCCTCCTACGTCATTTTGCTGAGTCGAACTTGCTGACGTTTCGCCAATCATTATGTTGGCTTCTTCAGAGCTTGACTGAAACTGTGATGGCTTGTGCCATGCAATTTACTGCGAAGTTTTGGGCATGAGACGTGTAGCAACAAAATTTGTTCATTTTATGCAAAATGACCGTCGAAGGAGCATCGCTCAAAAGCTGTTAAATGATATGCTTAAAAAGATCTGGTGACGAATCAAGGGTATATTTATATGACATCGAAACCAAAGCGCAGTCGTCCCAATGGAAGAACCCAGAATCGCGAAGACCGAAAAAAGAACGTCAAGTTCGATCAAATGTCAAGGTTTTGCTTATTGATTATCGTGGCGTAGTACATCAAGAGTTCTTATCTGTCTGTCTCAACTGTCGTAAGGTCAATGAAGAGTATTACCTTGAAGTTATGCGCCGTTTGCGAGAAGCAATACAAACAAAACTTCCGGAATTGTAGGAAAACAATTCATTGATTTGCATCACGATAATGTGTTTAACTTTTTGGCCAAAAATAATACCCCGATCATGCCTCAGCCACCATATTCACCGGTTATGGTCCCCCTGCGACTTTTTCTGGTCCCAAAATTCAAAAAACCCATGAAAGGAAGGAGGTTTGGAATGATTGGAGAGATATAAAAAAAATCGCTGGAGGAATTTAAGTCTATACCAGAAAGTACTAACAGGATTGTCAAAAACATCGTGACAAGTGTATTATATCTGGGGGGGAGGGGGATTTCTTTTGAAGAGGACAACATTAATTTTCATAAATAAATAAATACTTTTTGAAGAAAACACCTGGTATATATCCAAAGGTGTGGGAGGTGTGACATTACCTCCAGAGCTTTGGGTGGTGTGGTTTTCATAGCCCTTGTAATAGTCAGGCATTGCGTTCTTTGGATCTGTTCTAATTTACGGCTCGCATTTTTCTTTTGTGCCTTGTAGCCCCAGGCAATCGCACCGTATGTTAGCATGGGTCTTATGATGACACTGCTCATATGAAATACATGTATGTTTTCATTGTGGGAATTCCATGTTAACTTGCTATTCGGTTCGCATACGTTTGCAAAGCGTGCACTCGAATCTGCCCGATTGTAGAATGAATAAATCATCCGAATGTGCAATAGGGTAGTGATTTTCCTTATTGAGGAGGTAAATAAATAAGATATCAATGATTAATCCGACCCCCGATTGTCCATTGATTGCTCAACACGAGCCGCCACCATAGGCGACTCTCTATGGTGGCGGCTCGTGTTAAGTTGATCTCTTCTGGGTGTACGCATGTTGGTCTGAGTGAAGTGGTTTCTTGGTAAGGACCCCATGTTTGATGTACCGCTCGCATTGTCGCTGCAAAGTTTTCAAAGGAAACAATGTGACGCTTATGGATAGTGGAATGATCCACCTTCCCTGGTTTTGGTAAAAACACCACTTTTACTCCACTCCAGATCTTTGGTATATACCTCAAAGTAAACGATAACCTCAAGGCTTACACCAGGTGTGGCATGAGCACATCTATTCCCAACTGGAGCATGGCTGGATAGATACCGTCAGGTCCTGCGGATTTAAAGGTGGACAAATCAGATAGTGTCTTGTGCCTTTTCTCCTCCTTATCCATTGCTGAGGTAGAGTCAGGGAAATGTATATTCGTGCGTAATACCATGATGTTCCAGAGGTTTGCAGCATGTGTGCCGCGTTTTTTAAAGAGCTTCCCGGTCTCGTGGAAATGGTCTAAACTTAAGGTTTTCTGAAGTCTATCTGCTTCAGAGTGTCATCTTGTATTAGCCTCTCCAGAAGTCTTTTTGTTTTTGCATTTTGATATAGTTATGTGAAAATTTTGAAAAAGAAAATTTTAAATGATGGTTAAATGTACATATTTAGGTAAATACGCATCTTTTTTGAAATAATACTCTTTTCGGTGAAATAAATTTGTGGTAAAAAGGCTTATAAATAGTTAAAATTCCGAAGTATATCAATTTAAATACACGTTTAGGAAGGTTTTTTAAGAACCTATAATGGATATAAATTTCATTTTTTACAAATATTTTAAAAAAGTATTGGTTAATCATCAAATTAAAACATCGAAATCGTTTATACAACTGAGCAGGAGAAACACAAGAATCCCCTATTACTAGCTGTCTCTTTCTATTGCAAAATTGGACTAAATCGAGTTCACTGATAATTATTACTAGAGGAATATTTCGCGACCTGCCTTTTACCGAAACGCTTAATGTATTAATATGAACCTTAGCCTAACAGTAATGAGATATCAAAAAGGATCCTGTACTATGACTGGTCGCTAATTAAATAGTCGGTCAAAGCGGGTCGTTAAAAAACCATAAATATCTGGTGCCGCGTAACCGACTCGATATTTCCCAGTTTATTGAAGTCTAGTCGACAATTATCCTCGCTGTCACCCCGATCCTTTAATATCCTAAATTGGCAATTACGCGATGAGCGGTAATTGGGGAAAAAATAACGATTTTAAGGTCGGCCGACGGCCGCGGCACGACTGGAAGAAATTGAAAGACAAACACGGAGTAATATGCTGAACAATTATAAAATTACGGGGGAACGAACGCGGATTTGGGAACGGAACAGCTAATTTGTCACGAACCAGAGTTTCGTGTAGTCACGTGACATCATCGGGTAAATTCTTCCAAATTGGTGGCAAAGCAATGCCGCTTGTTTCGTTTAAGGATTCGGTACTATGTTTAGAGTAGAGTGAGTGCATAAAATTGGTGTCACAATTTCTTCAAAACCTCACGGATGTGTTGATACCATTTAATGTGGGCATGAAAAATCCGCTCTGCAACTTATAGGCCCAGCACTTTGATAGGGCAATCACGTGCCATATTTTATGTTTTGATCTTTAAAGCGTTTGCCTGTTTTGGTTGATGGTGGCCTAGGTCATTTTATAGAATAGAATTATATTGCCAAAGGAATCTGTACTATCGGACTGTATACAAAATTTTAAGAACATTTTTATAATAATAAACCGTAATCTCCTGGTTAGCGATTGTTCTATACAGTCGGCAAAAAAAGTCTGTACACATAGCATTTTTTCATTTTTTTTTTTAGTTTCTTCTTTTACTAACATTTAATGATAAATATATTTCAAGTAAATATCGGCAATCTCATTAAGAGTAATAAAAAATAAAATAAAACTCATTAGGGACACTTTATATGAACGATAAAAAATAAGGCAGTTTTAGAAGCAAGAAGCTATGTCAAATACATCTCCATACACTTTAATAAATCACTATTCAGAACAACAGGTAGAACCGTTAATTATCAATATTTTATCAAGTCAGCTTGTATCAAATTTGGCTTAAACAAATGAATTATACTTGTTTATTTTTGACGCCACTTTCAAGTCACTGGTTTTTAAGTAAAATCAAAATGAGCGTTAAATTTGCGAAATTCATAGTAGATTTATGGAAAGAGAAAAAATCCTTTAGATGTATTGGTAAAATAATTGAAAAATCACCTTCAACCGTACAGTATGTAATAAATTAATACAATTCCACCGGATCTTATAAAGTGCGGCCATGCTCTGTTCGTCCCAGAAAGTTAACTGCACGAGAAGAGTCTTCTGTTGTGAAAAAAAAAAATAGAATTTATTCTAAAACAAGCGCTCCAAAACTTGCAGAGGAACTCAGGCAAGAAGAGTTTTCAAAAAATGTTAACCCTCAAGCGAATAGAAATTGCTTGCATCGAGCGGGTTATAACGGCCGCGTTGCCAGAAGGAAACCATTAGTTCCGGAGAAAAAAAGAGAAAAAAAACGTTTGGAATTTGCCCAAAAACACATTAACAAAACCAAGGAGTTGTGGGAAAACGTTATCTTTGGTGACGAAACAAAAATGAATCTTTTTGACTCACATAGTCGGGATAAAGTTTGGAGGAAAAAACATACGGTGAAGCATGGATAGGCAATTTAGCTTTTATTGACGGAATCATGGACCAACATGACTATTTGAACATCCTAAAAAATAATTTAAACCGACATGTTGAAAAACTTAACCTTGAGGGGCGATATTTATTAAAACAGGATAAGGATCCTAAACACACTGCTACGCTTGTACGTCAATGGATGATCCTTAATGTCCGCCAATAACTTGTTAACCCCACAGAGCACCTGTGGGAAGAATTAAAGCGACGAGTGAAAAAACATCAATTTACGTGTAAAGAAGAAATCAAAAATAGGATAAGAGAAGAGTGGGAAAACATATCGTCAGAAGTTACAAGAAAGCCTGTTTTAAGTTTTCCAAAAAGACTTAGTGCCATTATTAAAGCAAATGGCAATTGTGTAAAATATTATAATTT